AAGTTGATCAGTATGCGTATGACGAAGATGAACAGCTCCATCAGTTTTGATGACCTCTAGAATTTGTAGAGAATGATGCCTGGTGAGAGCGTATATCTTTCCAGAATCGTAAGACAGTGAAATAGCCGGTGAAAGTAGTTTGGCTTCTGCCACGTTTTCATTAAACTTTCTTTCCGCCCTGTTTAGCGTGCTATAGTATAGTTTGACCTCGTTGCCGCTTTGTGCACAGTAGTACAAGCCTTCAGAATCTCCAACGACTGAATACACAGAAGTGAAATTTTTAAACTGAGTCGTTTGCCAAAATGATATCTTGGGTCGACCAGGATATGCCACCGTAGTATCATCACTGTTGGTTGAGATAATCACAACTCTGCCTCCACTGGTACATACGACAATAAAATTCCAAATGGAAGTTCCATGACAGTACAGCCACTCATAAATGCAAAGGATTTTCTCATCAAAACGGCCCAATCCTGCTACAAAATTTGTTTGTGGCCCATTCTTCTTGACCCTTGGATCAGATAAATCTTCGCCAGTTTCGGGGTCTACAAAGTAGAGTGTACTTCGACCGTCTATAGAGGCACCAACGACAAATGCATTGCGAATCTCCGAATGGATGATTCGATATGGTGTTCCTCTGATTGGGATGCGGCGAGGTACCGTTTTTTGTTTCGTCCCCATTCTGGCAAGTAGAAGCCGATTGTATGATATCAGAAGAAGGTCAGTATCAGCTAGTGATTCAGATTCGAGCGGTAATATGGAGTTAATATTCGGTTGTTGTAGGGTAGTATTCAGTGCATCTACCAGCCAAATTTGATCCGCATTGATAGCCTTTCTCGATGTCTGCTTCCTTGGAGATTTTCCATCAGTACTTAGAGTACTTTGATCTATCTTAAAAATCTTCTCATCGCAATTCACAAACAAGCAGTTCGATTGTTCGGCTTGAATCAATGTTGCCACACTACCTCCGAATCTAATACAACAAGACCTGTGGATATCGAACTTCTGTCCGGTTTGAGAAATGTCCAAAGAAATGACTAAACCGGTGAGTGTTCCACACAGTAACGTAAAGTTTTCGGGAGTTGACGAGGGTATAACAAGAATACTGGCTAGTGCTCGAAGGTCATAGCTACACCCTTCGTAGATGGTAGGTACGCGTAAGTGAAAATTTCCCCGCCCAATGAACATCAAGAAAATTTCGCCATCCTTTCTCTCTCCAGTAATAATAAGCCCTTGGGCATCTTGTGGGTGCAGATACATCGCAAGGCACGTTACTTCTCCAACTTCGGGGGTCCACTTAATAATTATCTTGGGGGTATACAATATGGTAGGTGGCGAGGTACTATTATCAATGGCGGTATCGAGTATGCTAAGCAGACGCTGTTCCTCGTGATGTGTGGTAAACAATACTTTTCCATTGCAGATGATTGCATTGTTAATGAATGAAGTTGAAATTGGTAAGGCTTGAGGATAGCCCATCATATTCAAGCTGTCAAGTGTAGTACTAAGGAAAAGGTTAGACGGCTTGATCACATCCACACAATTTTTCAGAGTATAGTTAATGATATGAGAGACTGGAAGACATACCAATTGCCCGAGTCGAGAACAACAATGGATCGTTCTGTTACTTGTATTGCACGATTTCCAGAGACGCTGGTCACAATAGTCCGACTCATCAGGTCTAATGGGATATGACTTGGGTCAAGTTCTTCTGCATTCGTCCGGTCTAGAGAAATTTGTAAAATAGCTGATCGATCCTCGAGCGAAAGTAACAACCAGTCGTCACCGCCAGCCGAGCCCGAGTATACTTCTGAGGGCAAAATCCATGCTTTCGTAACCGCAGAATGAAATTCAAGATCCAGGCCAAGAATAGCTTCAATACCAGACCTCAATTCTGTTATGGATGATAGTGCTCCTTTTCCGCTGCAAACAAATATCGAATCTGACGAAGGAACGAAGCTCTGGGTTCTAGTATTAATGTCTAAGTTAGATTTCGAATTTTTCCTAATTACTACAAGATCCATAGCTGGCGACCAGTTTTGTGTGTCTTTTTTAACATTAGGTTGTGCTCGAGCCGTAATCTATGATGAAAAATAGTCAGTGAAGTTCCCAGCAAATTCTTTCAACTCGCCGTTGCAATAAGATACCACATTTGATACTCACCAAATAAGTCCCCCCGATACTAGCGTCACCCGCAGAAACAAGCACATCACCATGGCGGTGAATATCCGGATCGAGTGAATAGTCTGCACAAGCAAAAGCTTTCCCGATATTGCATTGCATCTCGCCAACATCGGTTATAGAAAGATCAAGATCTTCTCTACTGTGATTCACCTGCAATAGACAGATCCATCCATCCTCTCGGGCAAGATATACATCATCATATTCCGCTGTATAGTGGGGCAACCGAGTCGGTTTTGCCCATGCTATCCATAGGGGCACATCTGAGCCTTGATAGAGGTCGAGGGGCATTCTTTGACCGCATCCAATTGGTATGCATTCAGGTGCACCCTCCAAAATACCTTTGTAAGCCACCATGGAATGCTTGTTCACTAGGACAAATGCGGCTTGGAAGCGTAAAGGTATGAACAATAGGGGGATCTCCCTCAAGGCATAGCCTTTTTTGCCTCTAGAATTTCGTGATTTAATGGCTGACAGAGGTTCCCCAACTCTCCATGAATATATGAGCATCCTTATCTTGCCATTCATGGTTACTATCAGTAGCAGGATAATATCATCGTCTGATCCAGCTGGAGGATGAAGGAATTCCAAGTTCAAAATTGCTCCTTTACAGAGAATAATCTTCTCAGACTCGATATACTGAAGTTCCTCGCCATTGATATATTGGCGATTCAGCTCCGTTCTTGACTCCAAGGCCTGGACTGTGAAACATTGTTCAGAACAACCTATAACCATATATCTTGAGCTGGGGTCAACAGATAAATGCGTTCCAGGCTGGAGCTTATCCATCGCTTTGGATAACCGTCGCCTACTGGACATAAACTTCCACGATCCGTCGCCGGATTGGTGTAGCGTTAAAAAAACTGAATCGCTGGACGTGTCCGCTTCGAGTTGTAAGACTAGAATTTGAGGTGGCAAAAGCGTCTTAGAGGATGACGGGTTATCTGACGACGCCGAAAAGTTGATCATGTCAACGTCTTCGCATTCCTCCTTGACACGCACTTGCTCCTTTTCGTACTCTTCGAGCGATCCCAGGACAGTCGCATTGCGAATTCTGGAACCGAAGTCGTCCTTTCGGATGACTTCAAATAGATGCGGACCAACCCCCAATCGTCGAATCTCGACAAATGTGTCCTGAGTTTGTTAGCGGTCATTCGAATGAGATGGGTATCATGATAAAAATGAAACGGGTGCCGGCATTCGTAGTAACTTATCAATCTCTTCATACATGCTCAAGATAGAAAGTATACAAGGTACTACATATACCTGCTAGGCCTCAAACGTTTGCATTTGTATGAAAATCCACCAATACTGTGAGTACATTGGGTATCATAAATGTGTGTTACAATTTGAGTATATTAGGTGTTTAGAATTCCTGATAGGCTCTGTGTCATTATCATCTTATGATTCTCTCCAATACTTGCAGAATTTCAGTGATAACAGTTCAGTTCCTCCACAAGTAATAAAGGAACTAACAACAACAATGAACAAAAGCAACACAGCTAACATACAAAACAACAGCGTGACAACGAAAGCTAGATTTACTTACTCCAATATATGCTACATCATTGTACTCCTGACCACGAAGTCTGATGGGCAGAATCCAATGTACAAGAGGACTGGGAATGATTGTTTGAGTCAGAACACCACGGACCGGAGGTCGTATCGTTTCCATGGTATGATCGATTGCCCTGTCATCCATTCGATTGTAGCGTTGAAGCAGTGTATGGGTATCGACAGTCCTGGTAACCCATTGTCCGTCAACCAAGACTTGTGTTTGCAAAGGAAATGCCATGGGGACAATTCAAATAAGATTGATTGCCAATTAATTATCATCCGAATTAGGAAGACACGGCGTGCCTCGTATATGCAAACCTAATCGAAAGGTACTTGATAATAGGTATTGAGTAAAAGGTGGAATGATGAATGATCGATGACTTTAGGTTTTGGATGTGAACTTCGAGAGGACTGATCAATGAGATTGGACAGATATTGATTGTGTCATTACCTAACCTCAGGAACTCTATTTTTTTTATAGACTTTTAACCATAGGGTTAGGAGGAGAATAGTGATATTAATAGTTGGAGGTGCCTCGGAATATCAATAGTCCAAAAATGATACGCAGGTAGGTGAACGACATGAAAGTTTGGCCTATGAGCGAGCGAGCCTATTCATCCATGACCACCTGGTAAGGACAATATTGGTACTTGGGGTTGCTTCCAAATGCCAGTACTCCGATCATGCTCCTCAGATGAACCGCCTAAAAGTTGTATCTACCACTGGAGAATTTGAAATTCCGTGGCCAGCACCAATCGCCGTATCAATGTGAGTTTACCGGTCCAATATTTGATATATGACCTTGATGCTAGCTAGGTATGTGACCTTGATCGTGACTTCTGTATTTGTATTTAGCCTTTACAAAACAAGGCTGATTGATAGACCTCTTTCGGCCCGAAATATCATAGAAAATGTAAGACTTCAGACATTTATCTATAGACAACGTAAAATACTCTCTGAGAAAATTCATACCCTTTTCAACTCGATAATGTATTTTGGTTGTCATCAAAATGAGTTAATTGAATATATCATATTTTATTTGACATGGATGGAAAAAAATCCCTGACTGAAGACGGGAAACCATCAAGGTCGCTTCTGCTCTATTTCTACGCTAAGCTATCAAACTGGTTAACAATGGAAGGGATACTCTACGAGCCGGAGCCTTACTACAAGTGATTTATTGGCCCTTTGTCGGATTTCTTTCTCCGACTTAAAAGAGGCTATCATGATAATTCGACTCTCCAAATTTCATCATACTCAATATGGAGTCTAATGAGAATCCCATTAAGAGAGAGAAGTCCTCGGCAAGCTCCTCAAGAGCCTCGTCCCGCTCCCCCTCGCATTCCATCAAAGTGAAGCAACCACGAGAGCCTACCGAAAAGGAAGTAAAGATCTTGGAGGCATGCAAATGGAGAGATTTGGATACGATTAGAGAATTGGCAACATCGAAAGATGGCTTGGTCTCAGATGAAGTTCGTCGTCAAGCGTGTAAGATGTTCAAGCTCCCGAACAAACCTCTCGATTCGAATCTGACAATGATCAATAGGGCCTATACTCCTCGGTTGTGACAATGAACACGGCGACACAAAGGGCGATTTGACTAGCTGGAGGGAACTGCCAAAGCATGGGGACGAGGACCAGGTTGCGCTGGATGTCAATCGGTCTTTCATATACTATCCAAATGGTATGGTTATGGAAAGACAATGAAGCAGCATGCATAGCACAAGCTAATATATTTCCCAGATCAAACCTCGAAAGAGATCGGCCATAGGAAGGAAGAACTATCTGACCTCATCATCGAAGTCCTACGTCGCAATCCTTATCTCTGCTACTTCCAAGGTTACCACGATATCTGCCAAGTACTCCTTCTTGTTCTCCCACCTGCTACTCGCACCCCCTCTGTTGCCCGGCTTTCCGCACTTCGAATTCGCGACTTCATGCTTCCAACACTATCCCCAGCTCTCGCACAACTTCGCCTTATTCCATCCATCATAAATACTGTCTCTCCTGCTCTTCGCACTCATCTCTCACAAACCCAACCATTCTTTGCTCTCTCTGGCACCCTTACAATGTACGCGCATGATATACAAGAGTATGGTGATATCGCTCGACTTTTCGACGTTTTATTGGCACGAGAGACTGTCTTTTCCGTCTATATGTTTGCACAAATTGTTCTCTCACGCTCCGAAGAGCTTTTCGAGACACCCGCCGATGAACCGGAAATGTTACATTCTATACTTTCGAAACTACCTAAACCTCTCGATCTCGAATCTCTCATTTCCAATACAGTCAAGTTATTTGAGGAGCATCCACCTGAAACTTTACCCTCCTGGAGATCGATATCTTCATCTAGCGTCCTCAAAACCGCTCGTTGGTCTGATCAGATCACAAAACAGAGCCTTTCAGATGGCCAGAGGTATTTCGTGGAACAAGTCAAGGAATTACAGTGGGCTGCAAAGCGTGACGAATTGTTAAAGATGATGTGGAGATACAGACGGCCTGCTAAGGCTATTGGTATTGCAGTTTTGGTCGGAATTTTCTCATATCATTGTTTACCTAGGTCGAATGTAGTAGGAAGACGCTGGACGTCTATATTTGGGGTCTTTTGGGAATTACTGGGCGGGGGTTACAATGGCTATTGAAATATAGGTTGGGCGATGTCTACTGACTGTGTATAAGGTCTCTGGGGTATCAGGGTATCGGTAATGGAGTATAGACGGGTTCATGGATGGTTGGGTGGAGCATGATTTCTTCTACGGCGTAGATTATTTCTGGCTCTATTCCTGCCATAATAAAAGTTTTTGTTTTTCTGCACAAGTACAAAATGGATGATCAAAATAACACGCCTTGATAAGTGTACACGCTCAAAAACTTCAAATCCAATATCAAAAAGAAGTGACGGGTCAGATACCCTCTCCGAAAGCGTTCTTTAACCCCTCAAAATGCGCCCTTTGTTCCCCGGCTAATTTACCCTCCACATCCCCTACAATTGTCAAAATCAACGAATAATTATTAAACAAAAATCGTTCCTTCTTCCTCTTATCTGGCATGACCCCCGCGCACTTTGTCAAAAAGGCTTCCATCTCGCTTCTCAGTCTTGCCAGACTACTCGCTACAGGTTCATCATCACCTGCCTCCGTACTTAATTCCAAGATGCCCTGTAGAAACTGACCGAAACGTTGGGTCATGAAGTGTGGCGCTGCGGACTGTTTAGCTTGTTCTGAAGCTGAGGGTTTGCGGGTAGGAAGGGCGGATGTGAGGGTGCGGACGGATTCGCAGTGGATGTCCATTGTGAGTTGAAAGCGTGGCCAGAGGAGCATGGATGTTGCGTTTATGTAGGAATCTACGGCGGGGATCTTGCGGCGTTGAAGGGAAAATGCAAAGTGTTGATTCAAGCGCACACATAGGAGGAGACCTAGACAATCATGGGACTCGTGGACGAGAGACTTGGTGAGAGACTGGCCGAGGGAAAAGGTGGGTTCGAAGATGTAGTTGAAGTGTCGGGAGATGGTAGCGTATGTTAGGGAAGGAGAGAAGAAAGAGGTAAGAAAGGAGTATTCGGCGGAAGCATTGTCAATCAGTGCGAGGTTAAAGTTGCGGAAGGGAAATTCCATGTAATGGGTTTGTTTGTCTTCTTCAGCTAGGAAGGAGGGAAGTGCAGTTTGGTTTGGGGTTTTGAGAAGGTCGATTCGTCGACCTAGATTGAATGCGTCATGCGGTGGACCTGTTTGTTTGGATCCCGAAAGAAGGGTAGCCTTACGAGACCCATCATCTGATCCGAGCACATCGTGTCTGTCTAATACATGAAGCTTGATCTTTTCCAACGCCTTCAGATACCTCGTGAACTGATTAAGAAAGTACCATCGCATTGTATTCATATATGCTTGGCCAATCTCCTCAGCCAACTTTGGGTGATGTCTATACAAGAATGCATATAAATCTTTGTAGCGAAGGAAGTGCTGTTGTTGAATAATCTGTGCATTTATATTTGGCGATCGCAATGCTTTCACTTGAGCAACGAGGAAATCTCTGATTCTTTCCAGTGCCTAGATGTAACGTCAATATATTTGTAGGAGGGATAAGAGTAGGCAAGTCTACCTTGGAAACTAAATTCTCCAGTAAAGGCTTAAGATCGTTCACGCCCTTTATAACGCGTTGCTCCTTTGATTTAGCATCCATTGCCTTTGATCGTTTTTCAACTTCCGCTAATGCTCGAACCCAAGCTTCATCTATAGCTCCATCCACGATTTTTTTAACGACAGCTGGAGAGACACTGATCTCTTCCACTATAGGCCCAAGTCCGTTCTCTACTACTTTGCGATTTTCCAACCTTACGCTCAAAGCCGTTGATCTTGCTTGTAGAGTTTCGATCTCTGCAGAAACCATAGCAAGATCATTTTGAAAGCTGGTGAGATTTATCTCAACTGAATTAAGAACGTCATCGCAGGCGCGAATTGATCGATGGAGGTCTTCGAACTTTTCTTTATCGCGCTCATCTGTTGAAGCTATCAGCAATTGCGCATTGTGATTTAAGAAGTAGTATACATACATTCCTCCAGTGTTTGAGATTTATATACATGCTCAACCTCAACATCGAGAGGTTCTCCTGCTACAATGTCTTGTAGACTTAAACCTCCGAAATCCCATTCACCTTCATCGTCTTCCTCTTTAATAGGAGCAACTGTCCCGTTTGCAGTCCCCGGGCTCTTCGTTGATGGCAATTTTGTGCCTTCTCCATTGTTCAAGAGTGTTCCCAAAACCTCCAAAGGGTCTGGCACATTCGGAGGTGTAACTGTTTGTTTGAGGTTCGAACCATTGGGTCTCCGTGATGATAGCAAAGATGAATTAGAGTCATTGGAGACTAACGATAGTGAAGACGATCTCGGATTGAATGCTGGTCTACCACCAACTGGAGATGGCACAAGATGACTCGGTCGACGAGGGAGATTTGGGATCCTATTTAATGGGGGAGGTGGAGAGGCAGAAGGGGTTGTATGTCCGGATAATCGATCTAATGACCACATTCTGATGGTTGAAATGTAAATCAGGTAATTTCTCTCCCCATGCGCCAATAATAGATCGAAAGGGGAAAGATTTATATTTTAGACGGAATACTCGAAGTGTTACTCCTGGTGTAATCTGAATAAAGCAGTTAAGTATAGGTAAACAAAAGGGAGCTTCAGCTTATCGATATAGAACAGACCAGATTATCGAAAATGGCATCCTCAGCACCCAAAGCTTTGTAAACAGTCAACAAAGCAAAGTAATGAGAATGGTTACCTCAATTGGAGAAGTTATATCAGGAAAATGACTGAAACATTACATCTCAACACGAAAAAGTACCTACTCAAGCTGTTTTTGAAAGCTTTGTATAATTGTTGAAGGGAGTGGAATACTACCCGGTGGTACCTAGGTACCTACCTATTGTATGTACGAATAGATAGCGATAGCGATAAGGAATACGGTTTTGCATCTCAAGCCACTTCTGCTTCGTGGCTGGTGTCCGTGGCTAGGTACCTACCTACGTAGTGGAGTACCTTGATGAGAAGACTGGACGATAAAGTTGTGGATACACAAGCAAAATGATTGCGAACTTGGATATACTAATGTACTAAAATGTCTAGTATTCTTCATTCAACACACTCTTTCCCTCTTTGATCAGTACTACTTATCTTGGAAGCAATGTCACGTGATCAATATTCCCCTCACTTTGCACCCAAATCTGCCCAGGTGGCTTTAAATCAACCCGAAAATACAACTAACAGCAATAGTTGATCAAGATAGCCAATCAAAATCGGAGAAGCAGCTTGGTATTTTTCAGCCACTCCTCCATGCCCGGTTTATCCAATAACCGTAATAGGAATGAAGTTCAAATGAATCAATTTAACTGGTTGAACGGTCTCCACCCTCGACTTTTTTTCACAAAAAAACTGGAACTAATAATCGCTAAAATCTACCAATCTTTCCAGGACCAGATTCCCTTCCACACACCACATTCTATTCTTCCTCGAATTTATAAATTCTTCCACATCTCCTAATCTTTTCGCAATCATTCTCATCACGACTCCTCAACTCCATCAATTTTATTCTAACTCCCCAAATCCCCCCGAACACCTCTCAAGATGTCTGGAGAAGCCCCAGTTGATGACTCTCAAGTAAGATAGAATTTTGTCCTTTCTTTCTGTGTGTCGATTTCACCCCGCACATGAACTCTTTCCCCCCACCAAAAATCGCTTTGCGTGCATATCAACCAAAATCAACGACGACGAAGATGATAGAAATCTGATAGCTGACCTTTTTTTTCTTTCTAATAGCATGAGCACACCTTTGATTCCGCCGATGCTGGTGCATCCACCACTTACCCTATGCAATGTTCTGCTTTGAGAAAGAACGGATTCGTCTGCATCAAGAACCGCCCTTGCAAGATCATCGACATGTCTACCTCCAAGACTGGTAAGCACGGTCACGCCAAAGTCCATCTCGTCGCCACCGATATCTTCACCGGAAAGAAGCTCGAAGAACTTTGCCCATCCACCCACAACATGGATGTCCCCAACGTTTCCCGTGTCGAGTACCAATTGGTAAGAACATAAATACATGGTCAATTGTTGGGCGCGTTCGCTAACGAATCTTTAAAGCTCAACATCACTGATGATGATTTCCTCTCCTTGATGTCTGAGGGAGGTGATCTCAAGGAGGATGTCAAGTTGCCAGATGGAGAGGTCGGACAAAAGATCCGTGGTCTTTTCGACTCCGACAAGGACACTAGTAAGTAACGCATATTCGGAAAAATTCAACACATCACTGACAGGTCCCTCTTCTAGACGTCATTGTCCTCACTGCTATGGGTGAGCAACTCGCTATCGATGGAAAGGAGGCACCAAAATCTGGTTAAATATCTGAAAAGTAATATCACCGAGATTTTCGCAATAGCATGGGTTGTTTTGCGTGAATATCTGTTCGCTCGAAGGTCCTTTAAATCCAGAGGAATATGATGCTTTCGGATATCTGCATTCTTATGGTCTACGTTGGGGCGATTTGATCTACGAAAACTTGGTCATACTGGTTATCTTATCTCTCCTAGTATCCCCAGTATCATAATTTTATAGCTGAATGCTGTTTTATGATATTCTTGACCGGCGTAGTCAAGCGGACATGCTACATAGTCTGTTTTCACGAAATAAAAAATTATCTCCCAGTTATCAAGAATCTATGTGAGACGCATGAATCTATAATTTCCATCAGTGAAGTACCTGCTACGATAGTTGTATGTTAATATAAAAAAAGTTGAAGTGCTTTGTCCACCCGCTTCTAGCGCCAATTTTTCCACGTAAACGATTTCGGGAAAATGATGCCCGATTCTATGTACTGAATATGTCACTGAAGGTCATGATTCCAAAAATCTCAAAGTGCTAATCTCTGCTATAAGCTATGTCATCGGCCATTGATTATCATAAATTTCGCAGAGGGGAGACATGTAGCGAAGAAGGATGCCGCGCTCGAAAATTCTATATTGAAGATGGTAAAAAGTTTTGTCAACGAGGTCATGAGCAAGCAGTTTGTAAACGTTTCCAAACCAAAATGTTCATAAAATTAACCAATCTAGGGTTTTACACAAACTCAACAAGATGAGGATGACTGGAATCAACAAGGGAAGAAGTCCAGAAAGCGACGAGAGGAAAAAGAGCAGGTGGAAAAAGTTTTCGGGGGTCGTGATGCGACACAACTCTATTTACAATGTTACCAATTAATCCTTTGGAAACAAACCCACTGGTTAGTGACAGTGAAGGGCTTTCCAAAAGAACTAGAAACTATCGTAAGAGATTTGTGGGAATTGAGATTGAGAGTCTTACAAGGTTCGGGAGATGAGAGAAGTGAGTATGGGACAGAATTTGGGTCAACGACGGAAGGGGACGAGACGGATACGGATGGGACGGGGTATAGAAGCACGGCTTCGACTGTTATGAGTAGGAAGAGAGCATCTAGGACCAAGAAACATCTTCCAAAATTAATTGAGACTCTGGGGTTTTGCTACCTTGGAATATTACTTTTGCGACTGCCTACAAGTTTAGGAGAGATATATAAATGGGCAGCTAGGGATGAGATTATCTATACACGAGCGGTAAGTGAGGTTCGTAGACATAGTTCCATATGTACTAAACGAATGCAGATTAAAGAAATTCCTAAAGATATGAGAGCTCGATTACCAGGTCATTATTTCAGAGCACTCGAAATCCACAGCATCTTGAATGGGCATAGACTTCATCAAACAGTACTCGATATGGTTTCCTTTTTCAATTTCAATTTCGAAATGGTTTTCCCCCCAATAAACCACAAACTACTTCTATACAAGAGTATTAGAGATCTGGGTCTTCCAGGTGTGTTCTCAAGCTCAAATTCAGGGTTCTGTCAAACTCTAACATCTCTCAGTTGACATTTACATGGCTGTAAATCATCTTGCTGAGATTCTGGAATACAATTTTTCATACCCGATCCATAACAAGCGGCTACATGGAACAACTGGGTATCCAGAATATCAACTCACCAGTCTGATAGTTATTGCCACAAAGCTCAGCCAGCCATTCGATGACATACACCGTCATCCAGAAAGCAATCTAGATGCCACAGCTGCAAGAATCAACTGGACCAAATGGCAAAGTATTATGCTCGACAATACGACTGAAGGCTTGAAGCGTGGAGATGAAATCAAAATTACAGATGCAGATGTTTTTAAAATGACTGGAGAACAAATGGATGACTGGATGAATTGGTATCACAAGACTTGGATCGATGATAGAGATCAAAAAGGTGAGCAGGTACTACATTGGTTGAACATACTTTTTACTAAGATTGTGAACAGCTCCGCAGCAAATTTTGGAGCTCTTCCCATTGACGGATATCATATCTGAGACGACAATGGAAATAGTTGATCCGGATCCAATCAATCGGGCCAAAGAAGTTCACAAAACATTAACCCTTCAGAAGCCAGTAGCACGTGTGGATGATGAAGAATCCCAAGATATTGTTCGCCCAGGTGAAAAGTATAGAAGGTATCGGGCAATTGAAGAGTTACCTGAAAGTGCTAAGGCCTTTTTTGAGATTGCTGGTAAGTTGTTCTTGTTAGATGGTGTCTTCATGCTCTCATTGACTGGTATAGCGAGAAATATTGGAACATCTATTGAAAAATTGGTACAGGGTGTTTTTACTACCGAGGTTCGATTGGAAAAATGGATGTTAGATGAGCGTAGGAAAGAGTTGTTAGAGCAGGAAGAGAGTGAGGAAGAAAACGCTAATCAGGAGGAGATGATACATGGCGACGAGGTGGATGGCGACGTCGGGAAGGAAGAATTCGACGAGAAAGACGTTGATTCTCCTACGATAGAGTGAGGATGAAGCAATTAGGTTCCCTAATTCGTGTGCAATTTTCGTAAGACGGGTACGGGTAATAGTTCTGGTTCGGACGTATTGGAAAAGGGTGCGATCTTGCTTTGAATAGGTTCATTGGTGTTTAGGATTTATTGTAGATACCCAGAGAAATGATTGAATGAAACCTTCAGACTCATAACGTTTACATCAATGGGATCAATTCTATTCTAACATCATCCTATCATTTTCACCTTGATGGCTACCTACTTGATGAGTACTAGGTAGGCAGCCTCAAATTCGAGGGTTAGCACCTGGTCATGTCATGTGACTAAATGCGCTAGGGTTTTTCTCGCTTCCCAACCCACATTCTTTGCAATATTCGATCTGAGTTGGGACTTCGAAATTTAGATTTCCACGACAAGTACGACAAATCGAAGAACCTCAGCAACCAGTAAGTATATACAGCCCTTGCGGTCATTTCGAATGTTTGCGAGTAATTACTGACCTTGTTTGCGATTTTAGTGCAGATGTAAGAACCCCCGATATCCCACCCGCCACCTACCTTAAGATTATACGATTTTCGGAATTATTTGCGACATCGATACACGAATTTAAATGATAGGAAACTGATGATATAACAATAGCTTCGTCAAGACCCTTACGGGCAAGACCATCACTCTTGAGGTCGAGTCCTCTGACACCATCGACAATGTTAAGGCCAAGATCCAAGATAAGGAGGGAATTCCCCCCGATCAACAACGTTTGATCTTCGCTGGAAAGCAACTTGAGGACGGACGTACTCTCTCAGACTACAACATCCAAAAGGTACGATTATCTTACACTCCAGGTTGAACCGACAAGTTTGGATTGGATGTCTTTGGAATCTATTGGAGCTGGAGGGTGTATATGAAGGGGATAACAAGATGGAAGTTTCGGAATTGGTTGATTGACATTATTTTGCCCACAGGAATCCACTCTCCACTTGGTCCTCCGTCTCCGTGGTGGTATTATTGAGCCATCTCTCAAGGCCCTTGCCTCCAAGTTCAACTGCGAGAAGATGATCTGCAGAAAGTGCTACGTACGTTTTTCGATCTTTCTCATCAATTCATAAAATACTGATGGACGAATTTAGGCCCGTCTCCCTCCCCGTGCTACCAACTGCAGAAAGAAGAAGTGCGGACACACCAACCAACTCCGCCCAAAGAAGAAGCTCAAGTAAATGTTTCGCTCCTATGGCGTTTGGGTTCACAGGGAGATTGTGGAAGGGAGGATTGGTGCGCGGATGTATCAATGGATTCTTTGCGTGGCCGGCTCTGTATCTGAGAACAATAGCATGAGGCAAATGAAGCAATGAGACGATTATTCAGCACACCAATTACAAATATCTTCAAGAACACTCTTTCGTGTGCAGTTGAATTTGAAGTCGATATGTGCCTGCCTGTCTGAACTAATTTGATTCAGCTTTCTAGTCGATTGTGGGCCTTGAGCCAATATTGGAGGACTTCTTGCTTTGGACAAATGGATGCATCACGGGAACGAACTATCTATTCTACATAATGTCCAGTGTTGCGGCAAGCAATGACTTTGTGACAAATGGTACATTGCGACATTCTTTCTCGAGCCGGCATAATCTCCAGACGACCTAGTCGCTAAATGAGGAATACAAAAGACACAGATAAGATTCATTTATTGCCTGGTAGGCAAGCCCCCTTCCAACAGAAATCTAATCAGACTTGAACGGTGTAGGATAATGAATCTCTCAGTACGTAGTAGAACAAGGGTAATACAACAATCGGTGGTTATCTTCAAGGGTGGATAGGTATATAACAATAGGTAGGTAGTTTTTAGTCTTATTATCGTGGTGGATCAGCATAAAAGTCTTTTCAGCACTATGGCTACTGTGAAAGATATAACGTTAAGCACAAGAGATCTATTAGATCAATTTTGTTGTCATCTGAACGAATGTATCTAAGTGACTCACGTCTAGTATAACATGAAGAGGTGTCTTTGTGTGAATTTGGAAATATGAATAAGAATACCTACATTTTATTCGTTTTGGACTTTTTGATATCTCATCTCATCTAATCAGCGGAATGAACGCTCGCTTTGCAGGGATGATATCGCCTGCATCTCTTAGCGCGTCTATCTCCAGATTCGCAAGCTGTCCCAAGCTACAACATAGAACACCACTCATGCAAGAATCCTCACAACATTAAATTATTCTAGTTGCAGCAAAACAAAATGTCAGGAGCTGGATATGATGTCGTTGTTGATGTGGATGAGGAGGTATGTTTATCACTTACTTCCCCAGGACTCATTTTTCTGTCTTGAATCCAAACCCATTTTCTCATACTAACAAACCCAGGGCGATCTAGGCCACACTGATCTCCAAGAAGATCTCTCCTTCCATAATTCCAATTTCGAAAACAATCCCTCCTCATCCCGCAATAAGCCCACATCGCCTGGTCTGCCCGCTCCAGCGACTGCAGGTGGTCCCAATACCTCGAAACGTTACCTCTGGTCCCTACATTTCTACTCACAGTTCTTCGATGTCGATACTTCTTCCGTTCTAGCACGATGTTGGGCAGCTTTATATCCTCGTGCAAATTTCCTGGATGTGTTAGAGGGGAATCCGGATTTGTATGGTCCATTTTGGATTGCTACAACGGTCATTTTTATTTTATTCATGGGAGGAACGGTTAGTTTGTATCTGGCGGAAAGAGGAGAAGGAAGATTTGCGTACGATTTTGGGTTGTTGAGCGGTAGGTTATTCTCTCTTCTTGCGTGGACATTGAAGTGCATTCGTGGCTAGAGAGAATGAACATAATACTAACTTGGATCCTTCTACAGGCGCCGCGGGTCTAATCTATGGATATACATTCGTAATTCCAATCCTTCTCTTCCTAGCCCTCAAATATTTTGGCAGCGAATCTGCCAATCTTCTCGAATGCGCCGCTCTTTACGGCTACTCCAATCTCGTATGGATTCCTGTCGCATTGGTCTCCTGGTCATCCCTTACAATCATGAATTGGGTATTCGTAGGAGTTGGATTCGGGTTGAGCGTTGCTTTCCTCCTTAGGAATTTATATCCAGTTCTCAGCGCTACGGATAAACAGACAAGTAAAATATTACTTATCATGGTAGTTGTTCTACATGCAGGTTTGGCAATTGCTATTAAGGTGTTGTTCTTTGCCCATGGAAGTCCGGTAGCTAAGAAGCCTGAGGGGGAAGATCCTGCCAAGGAAGCCAATCCAAGTAGGATGTTGTTTTAAATTGGAGGTATCCCGAGGGATAATTTTGCCCCGGGTTGAAAGGTTGAAGAGAGACTGAGTAAAGGCTGGCCCGAACTAAGGGGGGAGGAATATGTTCAAGGAGTACAAGTCATTTCAAATCAAACAAATAGATCGATACCCATTATCATGTACAATTTATCGTGTTAACCTGTTATTCATCGTGTATCGATCTTCGTTTTTGGGTACTATGGCCCCTTCTATCATGGATCTATAATACACTTGAATTGCAACAGCTGTTGAAGTGTCCGAGAATTAAGATTCTAGCTCCGAATTTGGTTTTTGTAAAAAGATCTGATGTGTTTTTGTGACTCGGCAAATTATCGACTCTCTAAAACGGAGAATATTCATGTGCTTTTAAGCTCTTACATGGCAAGTTGTTCCTGGCGAACCCCTGGTGAGCTCCCGGTGAGCCCGTTTGAGAACGATGTTTAGCTATTTGTTACTCCCGGCGAGCCGCCTTGTAAATTAATGGATAAACCCAATTACTCTACAATCGCAAAATCCATGAAAACATCTTGGTTGAGTAACTTGCGATTTGGTTCTATGCCCTTTGTTTTCTTTATTTTGATGTGAATTCAATTATTTCTACGAGTTGATAATGACATGACGAAATCAAACAAGGATCGCTAGACGTACCTAAAATCCAGGGTAATAATTCATCCCTTCATTCCATCCCACCATCAAAACCACACCTCGAATAGCAAGAAAGCCTTTCCATAACCCGACCGTACACACCCTCGCAGTCAATTGAATTACTCCGCGTCGAACACAGATTTTGTTTTCACTACTTCGGCACCAAAAACCAAGAATATGTCTACCCCTCGAGTATCTCGCACCTTAGCCCGCGCGCTCCGAACGCGCATGGGAGCTTCGTCTGTAAAATGTTATTCCACATCGCAGTTGTCCACGAGCCGTCGCAAGAATTTCAGTATCCGGGTTCGAGATGGTGGGTTGATGAACGCGGGGATTTTTGGTCGAGAGTCGGCTCGAGGATTGAGATACGTTGGAAGATTGTATTCGCAGGAATCGGAGACGAAATCAAAATACTACACTTTTGAAGATGTTTGTTCTCCTCTCCCCTCGCTGTTTCTCCTGAAATGAAATGACTGACTTATTCCTTCTCTCTCTCTTCCTCTAGATGCAAAAACTTGCTTCCGCTCCACATCCCGATACTCATATTATCGATGTCCGTACACCTCTCGAAGTGCAACAAACAGGACGCATTCCCGGCGCGCTGAATATTTCTATCACGACGGATCCGGATGCGTTTAGTATTAGCGAGGAAGAATTTGAAGATCGCTTTGGGTTTGAGAGGCCGGGGAAGGACGTGGAGTGTGTGTTTTATTGTAAGTCGGGGGTGAGGTCGCGGGCGGCGGCGCAGATTGCAAAGGGGAATGGGTGGAGGAAGGTGGGGGAGTTTGAGGGGAGTTGGGGGGAGTGGAGTGGGAAGGGAGGGGAGGTGGAGAGGTGAGGATGTTGTGAGAGATGGGGTTGCTGGGGGTGTGGTATTTATGGTGATGTGGTGAATAGATCATTGATGGGCGACAGTTCGTGGATTACATATGCATTTATGGTGTACTCTCAAAGCATAGCTCCAAGATGGATTCTCTTACAGAGGAATGTGAAGTTACTGCAGACCTAGTAGTCGCTCACAGAGTAAAAGTAACTCTATGTCATGAAGCAAAGCACCTGTATTTGTATTAATCTTGTATTCAACTTTAAATGGTCAATATATATTGTTCCCGTCGATTTGCACAACTATCGCTCCCAAGTATTTCATGATGGACGGTAGATATCTATGGGAAATACAAAATTCGATAGGAAATTGGATGGTACTTGCCCGTATTACTACATTCCAAATCCTCAAGTCTTAGAAACGTGATAATTGTTCTTGCTCTCTTGATGTTTCTTACATGCAATAGGATGCGATATCTTTGCTCCCTTTCTTCCTTTATTCATATATCCATCCATCCATCCATATATTTATTTATTTATATATCCATATATTCATATATCCATACATCCATATATCCATATATCCATATATCCATCCATGTATCCATCCATACCATTCCGCTTCATCTCATGTTGTCACTCTATTTCCACAAATCTACCCATCCCCTATCCAATACATGCTATCGTCTGGCAACTTTATATATATATATATATATATATACCCATCTCATCTCATCTGATCTCAAATCCCTCCTAACTCCCCACTCCCCAATACTTACTCGCTTATCAAAAGGAGACTATCTACCTAGACCTCGGGATACTTAGTGCGCATTTACTAGTTTTTCATACTCACTTCGTATTATATATATATATATATTATATCATATTATATCATACCATAACATACCATATCATAACAGACGACAGCTATCCCATCCATATGATATAGAATATAATTGAAGATTGGTAGAAGTGGAGTCTGTTTAATCTGTAGATAAGCTTTGAGTTGTTGGGGTGGATTTTGGATTTGATATGTTTAGGTGTGGAATGTGGATTGTGGATTTGGGGATGGGGATGGGAAAGGGGGTTTTTGAGGGTGGTGGGATGGTGGGATGGTGGGATGTTTGTTTTGGAGTTGGGGATATGGATGTGGATTTGGATATGAGGTTTGGATATGAATGCAATAAGGAAAGAATAAAGTTTACACAAACGCAATCCCAATTCATGAGAAAACAAGATTCTAACCTAGAGCGAAAGACATGCATGGAAACATACATCTAACATCGTCTTTCATAAACAACCGTGAATGTCTAGGTACTTAGGTAAACATATAAAACTGTAAAACAAGAAACCATTCCAGTTCGATTAGAAATCCAATTTCAATTTTCAGATATCAGATAGGTAGGTAGGTAGGAGGGGTAAAAGGGGTAAAAGAGTAGGGTAATCAGATTAGTGGTGGTGAGTTTATATTATTGTATCTTGATTATCTAGTAGGTATCTGATTTTGTGTTTTCTTGTTTTCTTATTTTTTTTTTCGGGGGAATGAGGGGATGAGGGGATGAGGGGAGAGAAAAGGGGGGGAGGAGATGGGGAGGAAATGTTGGTTACTTCTGACTTCTGACTCTCAGCTCTCACTCTCAACTCGTAATCCGTACACGTATATGTATGCTTTTCGCTTGAGGATTGTTATAGATATTCGTATTCAAACTTGTCTTCATCTTCATACTCATCTTCATACTCATCTTCATACTCATCTTCATACTCATCTTCATCTTCATCTTAACACATATACACCCACCCCATTATATCACAAGCCGAAACCGAAACCCAAACCAAACCCAAACCCCTAAATTCCTCAACAAAAAAAGTTAAGAAACTATACCTCTCCAGCAATTCCAATAATATAATTCCAAAAACTCCCTCCTCTCCCTTCCCCTAAAACCTTAAAAGCCATCGAGAGACTCGAGAGTATGGATACCCAGCGAAGCGAGAATGAATTTTTGTGTGTAGTGCCACTGGTGAGTATCTATAGTGATTGTGAGTGGGTATCTGATTTTATGATGAATGGGGATTGGGGAATGAGATTGAGAGAGTGAGATCGGAGGGGTGAGATGTGATGGTATGGTGTGTATACTAGGGAGAGGGTTGAGAGGGTTGAGAGATTCAGGGTTGGAGTGTTTGGAGATTGTGGGGGTGGGTATTTATATATATATCTACATAGCATATTTAATTCCTCAGTTAGTAAGTAAATAAGTAAGTAAATAAAGAATATAATATAATATAGTATAGTATAATCTTATATATACATCTATATATTTTGATGAACAGATAGATAGATACCTACCTTTTTTCAGTTAAAAAAAAAGATAAAAGAAAAGAAAAGATGACAGAGAATGGAGATAAAATGAAATCAACAAATTCCGAAGAAGTGAATATTGAAATAAATACATAACTTAAAAAGTATTTGAAGAAGAAGTATTTGAACAAAAATGCTTTTATCTTTTTGTACTTTCTAGTTGAGATTGGTATATAGAAAATTTGTTGTTAATACCTAGGTATTCGTGGATGATAATGATATGATGAATTAGTACTAGGTAGTCCTATATATCTTTCTAGCAAATTATATTCAAAATTTCTATATGATGAAGATATGATGAAGATACGATGAAGATGCAGAGAGAGATATATACTTTCCGTGAGAGATGAGAGATGAGATATTTGAATATTTAGCGAGGGGGTCTGGGTGAGTCTATGGGATTGGGAAGGAATGAATGGTTTGTGTTTGGATATTGTGTATGTGTGTCTGTTTGATTGAAGATTGGGATGTTGAGGTGGGTTGGGTTAGGTTTGTGGATATTAAGTGAAAAGGGAGTATGAGATATAGGAAGTAGTTCTGGGATTGATGGATTGACAATCGATTTTTATATTTTTTAGTGTATAGTTTATAATGTATAATGTATAATGTATAATGTATAATGTATAATGTATAATGTATAATGTATAATGTATAATGTATAATGTATAATGTATAATGTATAATGTATAATGTATAATGTATAATGTATATGTATAATGTATAATGTATAATGTATGTATAATGTATAATGTATAATGTGTAATGTATAATGTATAATGTATAGATATTATTCTCAAATCAAGATATAACTGATATCCCGATATTCTACTTATAGAAATGAGAAAGTTGATGATGCTTTGGATATGATTAGATTCCATATGCGGATTTTCTGACTATTTAGATAGGAGATTTTGGGAATTGTGTAGATAGGTACCTAATGAGAATTTAAAAATCTAAGTGAAAGAGGCTTGAAATGGGATGATGGGTTGTTTATGCGGTTTGGAATTTAGAGGGGTATTATTGGGTTATTGGAATGATGGATGATGGATAGTGGATGGTGGATTGGTAGATGTGTGAGTGTGCTTGTAATGGGAAGGAATTTCTGACGTGTGGTGATGATGAATGGTCATTCGTTACATGCTTGTATTGATTTTTTGGATCTTCTCAATTCTAGAAGAAAGATTGTGGGCCGGGTTTGAGGGAAGAAAGCGGAGGGATCAATAATGGGAGATGGAAGATGGATGTTAGATCCTACGTACCATGTTTCTTGAGATAGATAGGAAACAAGATTTATATGAAGATGTGGATGAAACATTATATTTGTGTTTGACTTAGATCCGAAAATACGAATGACCATATGCAGGAGTGTTGTTTCAGGAAATTTGCAAGATACTTGAGAACTTGAAGGCACATAATGAAAATGAAGTTCTTGAAGGCATACAATGAATATGAAGTTTTTGAAACGACTGAGAAGATGAAGGAGTTACAAGAAAAAAAAGAGTAGCAGCGGAGAAAAGCAGAGAGAAAGAGAGAGAAGAGAGTAAGGAAGAAATAGGAGAAGGGAGAGGAAGAAGGATAAGAAAGAAATGAGAAATGGGAAGAGAGGAGGTAAGATGTTTTTTCATTGACTACAAGATTGTGAATTTGATTCATTCAAAGATGACGTTTAGGAGGAATGAGAAAGTGGAGGTATGTGGATAGAGGTGATACTTGATTTCATTATTGGAGATCCAATCTTTGTGTAATGATAATGGTGTGTATAAGTGTATTCAAGAGGTAGATTTTTTTCTCTTCAAATCTTCCTGGTGTGAGATAGAAAGGTAGAACTGTATTCATTGTATATAACTCAGATTGGGATATAGACCAGTACAAATTGAATCCGAGCACAGCTGGATTGAGAATCAATCTTCTGATATCTGCGATTGTATGTGAGTGAAGGAATGCGTATTTAGCAATGCGATAGGGATGTTTCTGCGAGTGTTTGGACGCGTGGAATTGACAGACAACCCAAAGTGAAGCAGAAAGGGCAGAAAGGGTAAGAATATCAAAAGGAGAGAGATGAAAAGACAGGAATATGTTATTAAAACATATCTCGTACTGAAATATCCATATGAGGGCCCGTCCCAAGAAAATCAAAGTAATGACCAAACGCCTAACAATGCACTTCAAAATATATGAGAGTAAACCAAGGTTACCCGCACCCAGTAAATACCAAGTCTAGAATCTCCCACTAGAGAGATAATTGACTCGTGATCAATATGTCACCTTCTAATCATGATGAAGGATTCGACCCCTCTTCTTCCGAGAAAGTAAGCCCATTTTCATGGAAAATGCTCCGTGGAATAGCTCGGCTATATATTCCTTCACGTGAAATTCTAGCTTGATTTGTTGATTCTCGCGATTGCTATTGAGGGGCGGGGGCTGGAAATCAATCATGGCGTAGAGAATGGATTGTGTGAAGAGGATTGAATAGATTGAGATTCTACTTTTCCTGATAGGTAGATAGATGGTTTTACTATTTGGAGGTTATTCAAGTTGGATGAAAATGGGGGTTTTGAGTCCTTGAATTAGAGATGATGTGAGTGGAATACTGGTACTGAGGTTTGAAAATTTGAGGTGGTTGTAAAATATGTATGTTGGTCAATGCTGCTGACTAGATT